GACACTGAGTATACAAATATTAAGAACACCTGCTCTTTCCATGACATACACTGACCAGGTGAATCCAGGTGAAAGCTATGATCCCTTATTGATGTCACTTGTTAAATCCACTTCAAATCAGTGTAGATGAAGGGGAGGAGACATGTTAAAGAAGGATTTTTAAGCCTCGAGACAATTGAGACATGGATTGTGTATGTGTGCCATTCAGAGAGTGAATGGGCAAGAAAAAAGATTGAAGTGCCTTTGAACGGGGCACCGGTTTGTGTCAAGAACTGCAACACTTCTGGGTTTTTCACGTTCAACAGTTTCCCGTTTGTATCAAGAACGGTCCGCCACCCAAAGGACACCTAGCCAACTTGACACAACTGTGGGACGCATTGGAGTCAATATGGGTCAGCATCCCTGTGGAACGCTTTTCGACACCTTGTAGAGTCCATGCCTCGACAAATTGAGGCTGTTCAGACGGCAAAAAGGGGGGTGCAACTCAATATTAGGAAGGTGTTCCTAATGTGTGATACACCTTCAGAAAGTATTCACACCCCTTGACTTTATCCACATTTTGTAGTGTTACAGCCTAAATATAGAATGGATAAAATTTAGATTTTTTTGTCACTGGCCTACACACAATACCCCATAATGTCAACATGGAAATCTGTTTTTCGAAATTTTTACAAATTCATTGAAAAGCTGAAATGTCTTGAGTCAATGAGCATTCAACCCCTTTGTTATGGTAAGTCTAAATAAGTTCAGCATTAAAAATTCATATAATAAATTGCATTGACTCACTCTGTGTGCAATAATGATGTTTAACATGATTTTTGAATGACTACCTAATTTCTGTACCCCACACATACAATTATCTGTAAGGTCCCTTAATCGAGCAGTGGATTTCAAACACAGATTAAACCACAAAGACCAGGGAGGGTTTCCAATGCCTCGCAAAGAAGGGAACCTATTGGTAGATGGATTTTTTTTTTTAAAAAAGCAGACATTGAATATCCCTTTGAGCATGTTGAAGTTATTAATGACACTTTGGATGGTGTATGAAAACACCCAGTCACTACAAAGATACAGGCGTCCTTCCTAACTCAGTTGCCAGAGAGGATGGAAACTGCTCAGGGATTTCACCATGAGGCCAATGGTGACTTTAAAACAGTTACAGAGTTTAATGGCTGTAAAGAACACTGTGGATGGATCAACAACATTGTAGTTACTCCTCAATACCAACCTAATTGACAGAGTGAAAAGAAGGAAGCCTGTACAGAATACAAATATATTCCAAAACAGGCATCTGGTTTGCAACAAGGCACTAAAGTAATACTGCAAAAAATGTGGCAAAACAATTAACTTTTTGTCCTGAATACAAAGTGTTATGCTTGGGGCAAATCCAATACAACACATTACTGAGTACCACTCTCCATATTTTCAAGCATAGTGGTGGCTGCATCACGTTATGGGTGAGCTTGTAGTTGTTAAGGGCTGGTGAGTTTTTCAGGATAAAAAATAGATGGAATGGAGCTAAGCACAGGCAGAATCCTAGAGGAAAACCAGACACTGGAAGATTAATTTACCTTTCAGCAGGACAATAACCTAAAACACAATGCCAAATTTACACTGGAGTTGCTTACCAAGAAGACAGTGAATGTTCGTGAGGGGGTGAGTTACAATTGTGACGTAAATCTGCTTAAGATCTATGGCAAGACTTGAAAATGGTTGTCTAACCAATTTGACAGAGCTTGAAGAATTTCAAAAAGAATAATGGGCAAGCATTGTACAACCCAGGTGTGCAAAACTCTTCGAGACTTACCCAGAAAGATTCACAGCTGTAATTGCTGCCAAGGGGGATTCTAAAATGTGTTGACTCAGGGTTGTGAATACTTATACAAATGAGATATTAATTTATTCGATTTTGTATACATTTCTAAAAACATGTTTTCACTTTGTCATTATGGGGTATTGTGTGTAGATGGGTGAGAGAGAAAAATATATTTAATCAATTTTGAATTCAGGCTGTAACACAACAAAATGTGGAGGGGTATGAATACGTTCTTAAGGCACTGCATGAAGTTTCTTTCCAAAATGCTATATATCATTTTTTTATGTTGCTAAATTAGCTTTTTATTGTTTAAAGAAATTAGGAAAGAGATTGGTGTGTTTTTTCACTATCTAATCATGGCATGGGGTTGTTCAAAATCTATCACTTTCAGAGTATTTTTTATTTGAGATTCTTCAAATAGCCACACTTTGCCTTGATGACAGCTTTGCAAACTCTTGGTATTCTCTCAACCAGCTTCATGAGGTAGTCACCTGGAATGTATTTCAATTAACAGGTGTCAATTAACAGAGTTCAAGTAAGAGACACATCTCAACATCAACTGTTCAGAGGAGACTGTGTGAATCAGGCCTTCATGGTCGAATTGCTGCAAATAAACCACTACCAAAGGACACCAATAAGAAGAAGAGACTTGCTTGGGCCAAGAGACACGAGCAATGGACATTAGACCGGTGGAAATTTGTCCTTTGGTCTGGAGTCCAAATTTGAGATATTTGGTTCCAACCGCCGTGTCTTTGTGAGACGCGGTGTGGGTGAATGGATGATCTCCGCATGTGTATTTCCCACCGTAAAGCATGGAGGAGGAGGTGTTATGGTGTGGGGGTGTTTTGTTGGTGACACTGTCTGTGATTTATTTAGAATTCAAGGCACACTTAACCAGCATGGCTACCACAGCATTCTGCAGCGATACGCCATCCCATCTGGTTTGGGCTTAGTGGGACTATCATTTGTTTTTCAACAGGACAATGACCCAACACACCTCCAGGCTGTGTAAGGGCTATTTGACCAAGAAGGAGAGTGATGGAGTGCTGCATCAACCTCAACCAAATTGAGATGGTTTGGGATGAGTCGGACGGCAGAGTGAAGGAAAAGCAGGCAACAAGTGCTCAGCATATGTGGGAACTCCTTCAAGACTGTTGGAAAATCATTCCAGGTGAAGCTGGTTGAGAGAATGCCAAGAGTGTGCAAAACTGTCATCAAGGCAAAGGGTGGCTATTTGAAGAATCTCAAATCTCAAATATATTTTGATTTGTTTAACACTTTTTTGGTTACTACATGATTCCATATGTGTTATTTCATAGTTTTGATGTCTTCACTATTATTCTACAATGTAGAAAATAGTCGAAATAAAGATAATCCCTTGAATGAGTAGGTGTGTCCAAACTTTTGACTGGTACTGTATTTCCTTTCTCTAATCACCATGACTATTATTTATTTGTTTACTGTTATTGTTGTCATTATCTCACTTTGCTTTAGCAACAGTAGTTTTGCCATTCATGCGGAGAGAGAGAGAGATAGAGTGAGTGAGTGAGTGAGTGAGTGAGTGAGTGAGTGACTGAGTGAGTGAGTGAGTGAGTGACTGAGTGAGTGAGTGAATGAGTGAGAGAGAGAGAGAGAGAGAGAGAGAGAGAGAGAGAGAGAGAGAGAGACCACTTATTTGGATATTCCCAAGTAGAGGGTTTGTAGTTCAATAACTTTCAACAACACTTCAACTAACTATCTACTAACCTAAACCCTTATCCTAACCTTAAAGGTAACTGTTAACCCTTAACCCTTACCCTTATTCTAGCCCTAACTGTAACCTTAGCAAGCTGTTCGATATCAAGAGATAGTTTGTTGATAGTATGCCCATCTGTATATCATCTATATGGGACTATCCAAATCAAGTGTGACTGAAACAGAAAGAGGAGTTTGAATTCTCTCAATTCAACGTACTCATTCAATGGGACTGTATCAGTTCAGTGATATATATCATATACAGTGAGGGTAAAAAGTATTTGATCCCCTGCTGATTTTGTACGTTTGCCCACTGACAAAGAAATGATCAGTCTATAATTTGAATGGTAGGTTTATTTGAACAGTGAGAGACAGAATAACAACAAATAAATCCAGAAAAACGCATGTCAAAAATGTTATAAATTGATTTGCATTTTAATGAGGGAAATAAGTATTTGACCCCTCTACAAAACATTACTTAGTACTTGGTGGCAAAACCCTTGTTGGCAATCACAGAGGTCAGACGTTTCTTTTAGTTGGCCACCAGGTTTGCACTCATCTCAGGAGGGATTTTGTTCCACTCCTCTTTGCAGATCTTCTCCAAGTCATTAAGGTTTCGAGGCTGACGTTTGGCAACTCGAACCTTCAGCTCCCTCCACAGATTTTCTATGGGATTAAGGTCTGGAGACTGGCTAGGCCACTCCAGGACCAGTGGTTGAACGTTATACTGTATTGGAATTATTTTGTTGGGCGAAGAAAAACCTGTTCATTAACAATACAAAAAGAAACGGAACCACAACCACTGCCTCTGGTCTGTTCATGTCATGCCTCCCACTTGTGTTAGGGTGCTTCAGACAAGCTGATCCATTCACAGTACATTACAACTTGATTGAATCAAGGGATACGTGCAGCATGAGAGGATCCATGTTCATATGAGGTGCAAAACAAGAGAGAAGTCACAGAGAAGTCACAGAGAAGTCACAGAGAAGTCACAGAAACTGCTGTACTGGATACATGTTATTTACAAGCATAACAAAACCAAGTCAGTGGTGGGTGCAATTGGAACATTCCGGAGCCTGTTTGGAATCTCTAGAACCGCCAGAGATAACAGACAGGTGAGGAGGGTAGGGTCATAGGTTGTCAAGGAGAAAGGAAGGACAGCATCGTAACCAAGAGATCCCACTAATCCCCTGAATCGTCCCCAGATAAATCTCCTCCTCCTCAGCTCCAGTGACCTCAGGTGACTTTGTGTGGCCTAGTCAGTGTGACAAGTTGTGTTGTCCAAAACTGGCTAACCTAGTGGAAGTCTCTCATGTTGTACTCACATAGGAACATATGGCAAATTTATTGCAGCTATATACCACTCTTTACAGTGCTGAAAAGGCTGAAACTGAGAGAAATCTGATGTTTTTCCCTGTGTCCCACCTGCGGCTGTTTGTCCCCAGGCGGGCTAGCTGATTATGCAGCCTCCCTTCTCAGGCTTGTAGGGGTTCTTATCATCTGGTACTCCTGTTATCAAGAGGTCTGTACCAGACGCAGCCTCACACCACTCCATGATGTCCTTGGATGTCTTGGACACCTAAGAGAAACGGAGAGGGGTCAATAGAAGTTTGGATTCTTTCAATTCAACATTCTACTTCAGTTCAATGGGACTGTATCAGTTTACAGTGATGCCTTTGCAATGCTACAGAGCTTCTCTATATGGACCCATTGATGGTACTTACAGGCTCCCTGGGTGTCGAGACCTCTTTCTTCAGCTGTTCCAGCTCCATCTTGAGGATGTCAATATCTGACATATCCCGAGCCATCTTTCCCTGAGAAGGAAGGAGGGGAGAGGACCCATTAGAGAGGGCACAGAAAAGAAACATCAAACATTCACCATGCTATAACGGGTGCCTCTTATCTTGTTGCTTGTCAATAAAGATCATAACTCATCTAAATCCACGTGAGGGTCTTTTGGATTTGTGAATGAATTCACTAATTGAACAGGTTGGCATACTTGTTTGATATTCTTGTATCAGTCTTCAACAAAGCACTTTAGTGTGTAAGCCCATGAACCCAGGTCTTAATCTTCACCTTTCAAATCCATATAATTCCTCTTTCTTAGGAATCTCATGCTGGGATGACCGGTCCAAGGCACCCTGGCCTGTTTTCTATTGCATGTGTGGTAAAATAACTATATGATGTCACAACAAGCTAAAGAAGGTTGCAGAACAGGATTATCCAATAAGAACACAGCCTATACATTGTGTAACTTTGTATGGCCAGTCGCCAGGAATGCAACTCTAATAATATCTTGTTTTTAAGTAGAGTTGATCTCTATGGGCATACACTGACACAGTAAAAGACATCTTAGGTCAGGGATGGGTGACTTTGAAGGGGTCGGGGCCACAAAAAATCGGAACTGATCATGAGGGGCCGCAGTGGCTCGCTGGTCTCTTGACCGCAGAGAGACATTTTTGAAGTTGTAGAGTTAATTTCCTGCAATTCTACACATTTTGCCATAGGGCGTAAAGAAAATGTTGCAGTTTTAAAGCAAGTTTGCTGCAATTCTACACATAGGGCGGCAGATAGCTTAGTGGTTAAGAGCATTGTGCCAGTAACCGAAAGGTCGCTCGTTCTAATCCCCGAGCCGACTAGGTGAAAAATCTGTCGATGAGCCCCTGAGCAAGGCACTTAACCCTAATTGCTCCTGTAAGTCTGCTAAATGACGTAAATTTAAAATTTTACATTTTGCCATGGGGAGTTGAGAATACCCCAACTGAGTTCCAAAATATATACAGTATATATTATATTTTTGGGGGAGGGAAATTCATTCGCAGGCCTACAAAAGGGGAGCCTTAGATATGACTGTATGAACAAACTAATGAACTATTGACATCTGTTTCCATGGTTTCCATGGTACTCAGTTGTAGTCCTTCCTAAAAGAATATGTCATACAACTGAACTTTTGAAATACATGAAGGCTATGTGGTTGGTGTTCTTTGTTTGGTACGACTTCAGTCCTACCCTCTACCAACACACTGTGCCAACATAATCAGGCAACCAACCAAACCCAAAACAAGCAATTACATGTCACATTAACAATTATAGCAGGTAAGGAAGCCACTGTGACAGTGGGTGGTGCAGACAACAGCTTCATTACATTGTGACTTCTAGCCACACTGAGCAAACACACACTGCATTCATCCATTCATTTCTGTCCCAACAAGGCCATTTATATGGCCTATGAAAAGAAGAGGAAAGACAGAAATTTAGTCTAAAAAGAGACCTCTGAGTTATGTCTAACAATAGTGAAAACAACTCAGAGTAGTCAATTACACAAATACATTGGTTAATTGATCCTATTAGAAATGTGATACTACATAAAATGTAGTAGTATGGCTTGTCAACTCCGGTCAATAAAAAAAATCTATCCCACAATTGAAAATCGAAAAGATGTTTTAAATGCATAGATTGAATTCAATGAATTGCTCAATTGAGCTAGAATCTCCCTGAACACTGGTCCAGGCTAATGGCCTAGACTGTAGTTACATCTCCATCCTCTCCTCATCCTCTCCTCTGGGCATCACTCACCTAGTGGTTGTGGGGACAGTCGATGCAGGGAAAGTGTAGTCTCTCGCCCTCTATAGGACCGTTGTGATTGGGTTGCCTCCCTCCTGAGTCCAACTGGCTTACCCTGTCCCTCAGCTCTCCTCTTCAGGGTGTTCTCCAGATGGCACGTGACAAATTGGGAGGAGACTATTGCCCAGAAAAACATGCCCCCCTCTCTGTTCCTAATCAGATTAGTCTATAATAATTATCTGGGCCAAATGTCAACCTCAAATTACATATGACCTTTGAGTATCACAGGAGGATATAGAGAGAGTATCAGCCTCAGCCAAATGCTCCCAAACCACAGGTCCTGGATCAGCTCTCACAATGCCAATCCTGACCTTTATTATGGGGTTTAAAAGTTTAAAATGGCCCTATATCTGTGCTTATTATGAGCAACTTCCACTCTCACCAGAGGTCAAAAACAGGAGAAAAAACGTTTGAAATGGAACACGGATATGAGCATTCTGATTGACCAGGAATCATGACCAGGTAATCATTTTAAAACAGCCTGGCCCACTTACAGACTTTCATTCACACACTGTCTCAGTGCCAAAATGAGGCCCCAATTCAATCAATTGATTTGGAAAGGAAAACTGCACTGCACTGGGTTCACTCAGAATGTTAACTCTGTATTGTAAGGACAGGTGAGGATTGTGATGGATTTAATTGGGGGGTTAAAGTTCAGATTAGATAAGGGATGACAATAAGAACTATACAGTATAACATAGGCATACTGTTTAATTGTCAGGCATGTTATGAGTTAGTTTCTAGGCAAGCCCCATTCAAACCTTTCTAGATCCTTCAGGACTTCACTTGCACAAATAATTCCAATCCCTCATCCCTGTTTTGCCTCTTAACAGTGACCTTGCTGGTCATCTGCTTCTGTCCCATCTGATCCTGAGGCCTGTCACATTTGGTATCTGGCCCCATGTCACCTCTAATCGAAGGAGCAATCTCAGACAGATACAGATGTAGGATCGATGGATACAGATGTAGGATTTTTATTTGATCTGTCTTTTGTTGTTGAGAATTTTCCTGCACAGCCGGAAATGCACATTTATAGTGTATTCAATGTTTAAAAATGCTTCCAAAGTTTGTAATTTTCACTTTAAAATGTCAGACTTGATTCGCCCTAACAAAAAGTGTATCAACCCCTCTTATTTTCTTGCTGTAGCAAACTGGCTCAAATTAAGATCCTACATCTGTAGGGCTGGAGAAATGTAACACTGTCAAATGTATAGACGGTCAGTTCTTGCATCCATAGCCTATCTATGGGATCAACATTATAGTTTTAACCACGTTTTGAAGCTATACACTGATGGTTTCAATTACATTATTTACAAATAATTTTGTTAAACAATCTAATATTTGGGATTGTGATGGAGAAAGACCGTTGAACTAATCTCATGAGGCACTTATTAATGATATTCTTCTAAAATCAATGGCTATATATCATCAATCCCAAATTGTGTATCAATCCCAGATTGCCCCTTTAAAGGCCACATCCTGAATGACCAACCCTTTTAGCCCAGAGACAAATTGCTTCCTGAGTCAAATCCTCCCAATCCCATTTCAGAGTCTTGTCCGTCTTAATCCATTAGATTAATGACTGAACCCTGGGGGGGGTTAATCTAAAATAGAATATTGTGTGACCACTGTGTTACAATACACATTACAGCTGACACACATACACACACAGTTTTATTTTCTTTATTTTCGTGACATTTCAGGATTTTTTGGAGAGTATTTATTTTTGTTTGGGAGTAAAAATGTTTTTCCCTAAACCTAACCATACCCCTTAACTTAACCTTAACCCCCAAAAACCTAAACCTAACAAAAACCCTAAACCTAACTCTTAAGCTTAAAATTGCATTTTAACAAATTCAGGATATGAAAAAAGTTCAGATTTTTAAAACAATGTATTGTTTTCCTACCTTGTCAGGATATTCGGGTGAATTGTTAGGACACTGGGGTCCTGAAAAGGTAGGAAAACAAGTACTCAAGATAAACCCCCATGTTTACTAAGACCTCTCGCTCACTCTCTCACACACACATAAATTAATTGCTGGATTACTTGTGTCATTTTAAAAGGAAAATACACAACATGACCAAAAGTATGTGGACATCTGCTCGTTGAATGTCTCATTCCAAAATCATGGGCATTAATATGGAGTTGGTCCCCCCTTTGCTGCTATAACAGCCTCCACTCTTCTGGGAAGGCTTTCCACTAGATGTTGGAACATTTCTGTGGGGACTTGCTTCCATTCAGCCACAAGTATTAGTGAGGTCGGGCCTGGCTCGCAGTCAGCATTCCAATTCATCCCAAAGGTGTTAGATGGGGTTGAGGTTAGGGCTCTGTGCAGGCCAGTCAAGTTCTTCCACACCGATCACAACAAACCATTTCTGTATGGACCTCGCTTTGTGCACGGGGGCATTGTCATGCTGAAACAAGAAAGGGCCTTCCCAAACTGTTGCCATAAAGTTGGAAACACAGAATCATCTAGAATGTCATTGTATGCTGAGGCATTAAGATTTCCCTTCACTGAAACTAAGGCAGAGGCAGGCAGTTTGGAACTCGGTAGTGAGTGCATGACTGCAGCACTAGCAGGGCAGAAATGTTACGAACTGACTTGTTGTAAAGGTGGCATCCCATGACGGTGCCACGTTGAAAGTTACTGCGCTCTTCATGAAGGCCATTCTACTGACAATGTTTGTCTTTGTAGATTGCATGACTGTGTGCTCGATTTTATACACCGGCAACAACGGGTGTGGCTGAAATAGCCAAATCCACTAATTTGAAGGGGTGTCCACATACTTTTGTATATAGTGTATAGTGTAAGTAAGCATTCCGTTTTCAACAATTAGATTCGATTTGTAATTTGTTTATTCAAACTGTAGATGGCGGGTGAAAGGGTCACAGTAAAGAAACACATTTCATCTGAAATAATCACTTTCAATCCGTCTGTCTGCATATTTTAAGAAATGGCATATGAGTGTGCAGCGAGATACCTGATGGGTTGGATGATACTTTTCTCGTCAATCACCTTTAAAAAATGTATACTTAAAAACTGGAAATCAACCAATCCTCCATCGTTAACACAATGGACAGGTCAAATGTTTTATTATCTAAATGTTGGTGACGGAGAGAAACAAAATGGTGCAGTTTGAGGCCATGTGGCGGAGAATGATGCGGGTGCTGGAGATGGGTGTGAGCAGGTGGATCTGGGCAGGGGTGATGTTATTGATGTTTGACTGTCTGTATGTTTTTGTTTGTATATGGATGTTTTGTATTGTAATTTTTAAAATAAAAAAATCATACTTTCTTTTTTACAATAAAGCAGTGGTCAATGGTGTGTCTCTCTTTACAACATCTTAACAACAAAATGATAAACCAGCTGAAAGTGGCTTCTTAATCATTGAAAGAACAAGGATTGGAGATAATTTGAATAATACAAATTATACACAACTCATTTCAATACAAATTTTAAAAAACGGACATATCTTCAAAGCTGTAGGAGGAGGTACATTAAATGTCTTGGAAGAGATATGAGAAAAGTTACTTGTGATGCACAATGATTTCTTCCTACAGTTGATACTTTATTTGAAAGGACAGATTGGTGCATTAGTCCCATAGCCACTTTTATCGCCAGTCTTTTCACCTATTCTTTCAAATCAGTGCTCAGATGGTGGTCAGGATAGTTAACATGCTAACCAATGACTACAAGCTAACACTGTCGTCCTCATCTCTGTGTGAGTGCACTAGTTCCATTGCCACCAAGTTGCAGATATGGAGAGCAGAAGTGCATGTTAGCCTGTATGAGACTAGGGCTTGAGCTGCTTCCCCATAGAGAATGATAGAGGCCTCTAGTGGCCAAAAGGCCGTTTTAGCATGGGCAGCGCCATTGAGGGCTTCCACCATGCTTCTGCCATTTTAAAGTAGTGGGGATTCCTATGGGTTGTAGCCTCAATGGAGCTGTCCATGCTGTCACAGATGATATAATGGCACATATATAAAAGAGGAGGCCTCTATCTACCTCTATGTGCTTCCCATAAAACAGCTGCATTTCTATACAGTCAGTTCACTCATCAGTAGTCGTGAAGGAGAGGAGATGAGGAAACAGACAAAAAAAATTAAAAAAAACATTGCAACTGGTGCACCAAGTCACTGTAAATTGTTTTAAATTAGACTTGGATCAAACATTTCATGATATAGAGCATATCTTCTAAACGTTTCGTGGTGCACCAAGTAACCGTATCATTTTAAATAGACGTGTAGGATCCATATTGCAAGAAAGAGCATTTTGCTAGAAAGATAATTATTTCTGCACATATTTCTGCATATTTGTCAACATATTTATATCTATTGAGAACATTCCATTTTGTTTAGAAAACATTCTGTTAGAATGCTCCATTAGTTGAATCCATGTGACATCACTCATGTGACCACAGAACTCAGTAGAGGAGAACGTACCTGGAGCAACACAGTTTCTAGACCGTTCTAAATGTGACTCTGTAAAACCTTTATTTTTTCACTAAATAGTCAAAAGAAGATACTGGTTTCTTCGCCTCATACTAATTTGCTTCCTGTAGATACCGGTGGCTTTACATTTTTTTAAGAGAACTGCGCCACTACAGACGGGATGCCGCGATTACATATTTGGATTATTGCACCTCACAATTGAACCACTATTTTCACTGTTTACTTCTTTGTAAACTATCCATAACGGATACATTTCAGGTGGTTCTTGAAGAAGTGGCGGACTAGTTTGTCTTCTGCGTCTTTTGATTGTTGTTTTCGGAACGATGAGTACTTTGCGTTTTTAATTTTGGGTTGGTGGTCGACGCTGACATGACTACAGCTGGCAACCAGCAAACTGCCCAACCCATCCATGAAGAACTCTGAAACAGACATATGGACAGGGAAAATGGAATGGACCAAATATGAATTACCAAAGACAGAGCAGTGCCTTAAGCATAATAACAGCAGCATGGGTTAAAACAGCAACAGGTTCATAATCATCTATATAAACAATTGACTTCTTCAAAACTTACCACACGTAACCCAACAACACTGAAACTGAACATCACTCTTGAATTTGTCCCTCTGGCTTTCTTATTGACACAGCTTTCCAGATTTCCTATTGACATAGTTTACAGACTTGCTGCAATCTGTCGATGTGCCGTTGAGCAAGGCACTTAACCCTAATTGCTCCTGCAAGTCACTCTGGATAAGAGTGTCTGCTAAATGACTAATATGTAAATGTAAAATATGTGCAACTGTTTTTACTGGGGTTTTAACTGCCCTCTTAGCATAGGATGAACTTTAAATGTCCCTGGTGGGAAAATTATCTTAGACACACAGTACTGCTATATACAGTAAAAAATAGACTTGACTGTACATTACACACTCAACATTTTACATATATTATACAATACCTCTGTCATACACATTGTGCACTTCTCATACTGTATATGTACATACATAATACATATTGGCCAAGTCTCCCTCCTAAAATAATCAAGAATGATGACAGACCAGCAGACTACTGACCGTTACACACCTCAACATTTTACATATATTATACAATACCTCTGTCATACACATTGTGCACTTCTCATACTGTATATGTACATACATAATACATATTGGCCAAGTCTCCCTCCTAAAATAATCAAGAAGGAGATTAGACAGACAGACAGACAGACAGACAGACAGACAGACAGACAGACAGATAGATTTAAAAAAGTATCCCTCCTAATGGAGATCTTCGGACCTCAGCGGGACATCCTGGATAAATAACGGTTAAATTAAAGAAATAAAAAAATAAGCCCACCTGAATGCGCCACTCTCTTCAGCAGGGGGTCAAAGCCCACTTTGAGCACGGCGTCGGTGCGACCAAGGAAAAGGTTGACCACCCCGCTGGTGAAGGAGCAGTTGGGGAAGCCTGGAACAGGTTGGTATTTCACTCCACGCTTTCTGTTCAGACAACCCCCGTCCTCACCATTACCCTCCTCGTACACCAAAGAGAAGTAGAACTGGCCGTGGCCCGCCACAGAGCCGCCCACCTAATCACAGGAGGCAGAGAACAGAGCAGGTTCACATGTAGTAATAACAATTATTATTCATTTAATTTGTAAAGCGCATTTCTCAGACCCAATGCATAGAAAAAAATACAATAGAAACAATCCAAAACACAGAGAACATAGCACTTTTGTTTCTTCCTAATACTGTATCTAGAACCTAAATGGGTAATTCTGCTGTCCCCATAGGAGAACCCTTTGAATAACTATTTTTAGTTATAGGTAGAACCCTTTTCGGTTCCATGTAGAAACCATTCCACAGAGGGTTCTACCTTGAACCACATTGGGTTATCCTATGGGGACAGCTGTTGAACCCTTTTGGAATCCTTTTTTCCAAGAGTGTGGAACACAGACAACAAATAAAGCTATATTCACGTGTTGTCAGATCCAGAGGACATGAGAATAGAATTAGCAGAGGTCCTTGAAAGCTTTTCTGAACAGCAGGGTATTGAGCTGTGCCTTAAACGAGGACAGAGACTCTGCAGCCCTAACAGTGTATGGAAGTGTGTTCCACAGCCGCAGAGCCGCACAACTGAAAGCCCTGTCACATTGTTATTAGGCTGCTGAAGGGAGATGTTCTATAGATGGAAAATGTGACTTTGGTCACACTTTTGATGAGGGCCTCAAAAGAGAGCTGGTTGTCAAGTATCACACAAAGGTTTCGAACCTCACTGGAGGGGAGGACCTTGACACCATCAATATTGTGAAGAGAAAGTGTTGGTTGAGAGTTGTGTTACCACTGAATTCCAGCCCCAGTCTAAGCAAAACAGGTAAAACTTTTTCTAGCCTGGTGACAGATCAGGGATCAGGTTACAGTTACTCTGCTCACCACGTCTAGTTCTGGTGTGGCCTCCATCACCTCCACCAGATTCTCGATCTTGGTTTTGTCTGTGAACAGGAAGTCGTCATCAACCCAGAATAAGTATTTGGTAGTGACCTGAGAGACAGCCAGGTTCCTGCCAGCAAACCAGCCCTTTGGGAAGGAAAATGTCCTCAAAATTACTTTGTATCAGTGGCTATCTGTGATAAAAATATCCTATAAAAAAAGAATGGTAGACTTGTTAACTGCATAATGTGTTCCCAACTCAATAGTTCATCATCAAAAGTCTTTGGGTGCAGGGTTCGTAATGCATACAGATGTAGGATCTTAATTTGACCGGCATTGTCGTAGCAAAATAGTCCTGCAGCAAAGGGATTTGAAAGTTTAGTACATAATGTTGCTTGATCAGTGGTTAGGCTATTAGCTGGCCAAAATTATGCTACATAAAAAGTGCAATACTGTTAATATTACCATGTGTTAGCACAGGTTTTGAGTGAATTTATGTAAATCACAAAGCTCATCTGCATTTCCTGTGGCGCAGGAAAATTCCCAGCAACAACAGTGATCAAAGCTATTATTTCTCGCTGATTGTCATACTGCTTTTCTTCATATTTAACATTTATTATGTACATGATAAAAATTAAAATTAAAATTCCACAACATATTCACAATGGTTGGCATGATTATACACTGAGTGTACAACACGGTAAGGACACCTGCTCTTTCCATGACATAGATTGACCAGGTGAAAGCTATGATCCCTTATTGATGTCACTTGTTAAATCCACTTCAATCAGTGAATACATTTACATGCACACTAATAATTGGATATTAAACTGATTATGGCAGTAGCCAGATTATGCAATAGTCATGTAAACACCTTACTCTGTTTATTTTAATCTGCCTAAGGTCAAAATCAAAGTAAGCATACGCCGATTAAAACACATGGGTTTCTGAGCAGTCTTTAGAATTATCAGGACACCTTAAATCAGCGTTCCAGAGGTATTTGATTTGCGCATGTGATAGCACCAGCCGAGCGAGCCTCCCTCTTTAGCGCGAGTGAAGTGTGTTCGGAACAACTGAATGTATGCCTCTTAGAAGTAGTTCACATACAAACTTTATATGTCCGAACTCAGAATAAAACATGCTTCCTGGTGGGAGGAGCTATAGGAGGATGGGCTCATTGTAATGGCTGGAATGGAATAAACGGAACGGAGTCAAACATGTGGTTTCCATGTGTTTGATACCATTCCATTAATTTCATTCCAGCCATTACAATGAGCCTTTCCTCCTATAGCTCCTCCCACCAGCCTCCACTGCTCAGTATATTTTGAGAGTAAAAATAAAGTTATTCTGACATGGTTAGATTGATGAAAGCAATTTACATTACTGGAGTTAGCAGAATCTTTTTTAATACCACACAAATGACCGAAATGACAGGCTACCCTGACACTGAAAAACAATAGTGCTTTTAGCTATATTGTTACAGAATGGCCTTTTTAACCGTTGTAGCACAAAAACTACAACCAGTTTCTATGTTGATAAGGCTAATAAGAAAATACATCAAATTACTTGAATATTGCAAAGGTCGAAATGTTAAGGAAGAAAACCAAAACCACTTAACTGCTGAATAGCAAAATTTCATCTACAATCTGAGCCAGATTGACAGCGCTCTGACCCAATGAGAATGGGGGGGGGGGGGGGCAATGATATTTCAAGGGGGGTTCCACCCCTGCCACCCCACTGACAACGCACCTGTCCACATTGTAACCGTTTGCATCTACACATGGTAGTTAAATGTCTCTTAACCGTCCACTGTCTGCATTGTGACCATATCCTAGTGCCTCCTTGTATGCAAAATATTCGACAGATATTCTTTCCAAATAATATTTATTTTAAGACATATTGATGCCATAGGTCAATGGCATCACCTGTCAATGATTTTAGAGGGCGTGATAATGATGATTTAAATGGTTTCACTGTCCAGATCCGTCAACACTTGTAAGATATCCAGACAATGCGTGTCTACCTCGGGAGGTGGTCAGGAAGAACAATTAGTCTTTTAATCGTCTACACCAGTCTAAAAATGTGGCCACAATAAGAATGTGGACAAGATCAGGACAAAGGACAGATGATACAGCCAGGTAGGCTGTGTTTACACCGGCTGCCCAATTGTAATATTTTTTCCACTCATTGGTCTTTTGACCAATCACATCAGATCTTTTCATATCAGATCTTTTTCACAGCTGATATGATTGGTCAAAAGACCAATTAGTGAAAAAAACAAAAACAGAATTGGGCTGCCTGTGTAAACTCAGCCATTTATACAAGCCTTTTGTTTCAACAATAGCCACCATGAATGAGAAAAATGGTTGTGACGTCATTTAAATAAACGTGCATGCTAATGAAGGCTGTTGCCAAAACCTGTTCATTTGTTTGACTGCTGCTGCTGATAATGACAATTCAAACTTCTCAAGGCTTTGGTTGTTGTCTGCGTTCTTCTAAAAATAATATATTAAATTCCAGTGTGGCCGACTTGAGTTTGTTACAGATGTAGGATCTTAATTTGATGACTGTTGCTGAGAATTTTCCTGCACAGCTAACGTTTGTAATTTGCACTTTAAAACTTGACTTAATTTGCCCTAACAAAAAAAGCATCAACCCCTACAAAAATGTCCATTAATTATAATCCACATTTCCTGTTGCTGCAGGATTATTTTCCTGCTGTAGCAAACTGGCTCAAATTAAGATCCTACATCTGTAAGTGTAGGTCTATGGCAGGTTGCCCTTATTGCACTGATCTGCTCCAGGAGACAAATACATACACCTGGGTTAATTAAGACATGCACATATCACAATAATTGACAATAACATTTCAATAAAATCGTATTTCTATTCCTTTCAACTCAGAAATTCAATCATACATGCTCAACACAACAGTATTTTATGTCCATCATCAATTCACACTGAATGTCCACTTTGAGGTTTTCAATTTGACCAAAACCAGCTTGTACCTGTGCTGGGGGCATGATGTACTGCTCAATGTTGGAGCCGTTCACTTTCTGTGGCTCCAGGCTGTCGTCGGCGATAATTATTTTGATGTCCTTGTAATAGGTCCTTATGCTACTGATGAGGACCTGCAGCTCGGTGTATCTCAGAAACGTCTTAGTGACGATGGTCACCTGGGAGTTGATATCTGCAATGAGAGATCATCTCTGGTTTAATGCAGCGACATCCTAGATCCTACAGCAATTGGAGGTGGACGTGTCTATTTGATTTGTACACTGAACAAAAATATAAACGCAACATGTAAAGTGTTGGTCCCATGCTTCATGAGCTGAAATAAAAGATCCCAGAAATTTTCCAGACGCACAAAAAGCTTATTTCTATAAAATTTTGTGCACACGTGTTTACATCCCTGTTAGTGAGCATTTCTCCTTTGCCTAGATAATCCATCCACCTGACATGTGTGGCATATCAAGAAAATGATTAAACAGCCTGAACCCTATGCAAAGTACGTGTGTCGCGCTACATTAGGCAAATGTTGGTCACACCAGATACTGACTGGTTTTCTGATCCACGCTCTTACTTTTTTTAAAGGTATCTCTGACCAACAGATGCATATATGTATTCTCAATCATGTGAAATCCATAGATTAGGGGTCCTTTTAAGGTTTTATACAAAATGTTTGCTAGTGGTGGTAATCAATATTGATAATAATGTACTCCTGAGTGGCGCAGTGGTCTAAGGCACTGCATCGCAGTGCTAACTGTGCCACTAGAGAACCTGGTTCAAATCCAGGCTCTGTCGCAGCCGGCCGCGACCGGGAGACTCATGGGCGGCGCAAAATTGGCCCAGCGTCGTCCAGGGTAGGGGAGGGAATGGCCGGCAGGGATGTAGCTCAGTTAATAGAGCATGGCGTTTGCAACACCAGGATTGTGGGTTCGATTCCCACGGGGGGCCAGTATAAAAAAAAATATATATATTCACTAACTGTAAGTCGCTCTGGATAAGAGCGTCTGCTAAATGACTAAAATGTAAAAGTAAAATGATAATTCAATAAGATATTGATAACTTTGATATTGGTTTTATTCTCCCTATTAACCTACACTATTACGTAAAAAAGCATACATGACTGTTCCTGCATCCACAAAACCCTCTCACTGACCTCACAGCCTGTCACATTAGGAAAGTCTGTTTAATAATACGTTACCAGACAACCGGCAGAGTAAGTTGAAATTCAATTTTATATAACTTCTGGCTTCCCACGGACTGTTCAGTTTTTTGCAAGCTAATTACTAGCAATGCTGGCGAGTATGTGTATCAGTTTTCCGATGCCAAACTCACCACTGGTGCACGTGGCCAAAGAGCTCTATTTTCTTGTCATCTGACTATAGCACCGCCTGGAGTTTGGCACAGCATTGGCACTTGGATTGGAACCGGTGCTATGGTCAGATGTCAAAATAGAGGTTTTGGCCACGCACACCAGTGGTGGGTTTGGCGTCGAAAAAACGGAAGTACTGTATATGCAGAACATTTCCTCATATCTACTGTAAATATGGTGGTGGATCTTTGATGTTATGGGGCTATTTTTGCTTCCACTGGTCCAGGGGCCATTAAGGTCAATGGCATCATGAACTTTACCAAGTACCAGGACGAAGGATATCAAAAATCTGTAAAGATTCTGTATGGAGGAATGGTCTAAGATCCATCCCAATGTGTTCTCCAATCTCATAAAGCATTTTAGAAAAAGTCTCAGTGTCGTTATTCTCGCAAGGGGAGGGTGCTTGAGTGTTGAAAACAGGGGTGCCAATCATTTTCACCCCTATCTTTTTTACTTCTTAAACAAAATCTTTCTCTGAGCAATTGTATTACTATAACATTACATAATTTCTCTATTTTCTTGCATACAATATACAGCAAATTAGTATTTTCATTATTTTTTGCTCATCTTTATCAAGGGTGCCAAAAATGTTGGACCTGACTATGTCAATACACCAGCGTTCATGAGGATGCTTAATGCCACACTTTCACTTTCAGATACTGGCTACATTACAAGGGAATAAAGGGGGATCTCACCGTTTCCTATGTCATATAAAACAGGCACTGATGGCTGCTGGATGACAATAGGGAAGACAGCCTCATGGTGTTCAAACGTGAAGTGAGCTGGTGAAAGAGCAGGGAAGGGTGGTGTCATATGATGGTCTCAGATCATGTAGAGAGAAAGACATGGGTATGGTAGGAAACCTGGATCTATGACCTTACCCAGGTCTCCAGTCCTCATCCGGTACACAGTGCTGGTGTAGGTCATTCGTCCCAGAAGATTGTTGAGGTCAGATAGGCTGGTAGACTGGACAGTGATTTCTTTCTCTCCCTGTCTCTCTTTGTCCCCCTCTCCAAGGGCCTTGATGGCCAGGACACCACTGGACACACTCAGAGTAACCTGCAGGTACATAACACCATAGCATTTTCGTAGACTGAGGTCAAAAGTTGAGAAGATGGACCATTTTCCACTTCTATGGAACTTATGTGATTGTACAGTTGTTTAATCAATGTGGTTCCTGTTAACATCTGCATACTTCTTTCTCTAATCAATTAAGTTCCTAAAATGTGTATTAAAATTAAGTTTTGTTGTTAGAAGTTAGATTGAAGCAGAACAACACTTTGTGAATTTAGATTTAGCGTTTAGATATACAGTTCAAAAATTATTTGTGTCTTTTGGAGGACAAAACTTGTCATTGTAAACAACTGTGAAAAATAGGTGGAGGAATTTGTTCTACGTGGTAAAACTTTAATTTGAACATCTGCCTTTAATATTTGTGTAACTGTCTGTGGATAGGCAGTTAGCTAGGTAAAATATTTGAAAAAACCTTGTCAATCCTGTTCATATCAATGCGGTCTCAAACAGACATACTGTAACTGAGGAAAAAACTATTTGCTGCTTACTTCATTGCAAAAAGGAAAGGAAGACAGGGAGAACCGGTGTGATGGTACTGATGATTTGTCGCCACAGATGGTTTGCTTACATAGCAGGTTAGGATAATTAACGCGGCAGGTTAGGTGAATTAACGTGGCAAGTTAGGAGAACTAACGCAGCAGGTTAGGTGAATAAATGTAGCAGGTTAGGAGAATAGGTTAGGGTTTGCTACAATGGTCAACAACTGTTGTCCCCGATGCGTCCACTAGATGAAGCTGTTGTAGGCCTACTCCATCTAGTCACAACTGTAGAAGCGTAAACAAACCATCTGTGGGACAAATCCTGAGTATCATAATACTGGGACGAAAGTAACACAGGGCGAAAGTAACATGCCCATTTTCTCAGATAACACAGAACCTAGAATGATGTAGTGAAGTCTGAAGTCAGCACGTCCCTAATGGACGACCTCCCTGCAAAAAATCTGCCAAATCCGACCCAGAAATGTTTTTTGGTTGTAGAGTTGTGCTTTCATATGCCATTTTTCTTAACCCATCTAGTGACTAAATGACAGCACAGGTTTTAAGTATCATCCTAGCTAGTGTTGGGTGTTAGCCTTGGAGAAGTTACAGGAGAGACAGGTGGGACGACCTTGAATAAAATAAAGAGATGTTTAAGCACTGGCCCTTGTCTCTTCTAGTTCATATTGCTTTCATAATGTCATCTAAAAGTTTTAAAATTACATATGACATCATTAGAATTCTGCATTAATTGACTTGATTAGCTTCTCACAATATGCTTTTATCAACAGGTTAGTGGTTAAAAAAATATCTATGATTCTGGGGGTCAATTACCTCAAGCCATGGAAAGCATGATGAGTTTGCCATTTGTTAAGAGAATATAAATGTGTATTCTATCAAGACACGAGGAGCACGCATGACAAAGACAACTGGCGCACATCTGATTTGAAGGGCTAAACATGAATAGTCATTGAACATTTCCATTAAAGAAATTATTGTTAATATAGCTATTATGTGATCATTTTAGTCCGATTAATCAAAATCAAAATAGTGGTTGCGCAACATTGCGATGTTGACGCATGGTTAATTTGAATTAATTTCAAAATCATATACTTATTTATTGAATCTACACAAACAAGAAACTATGGCTGACTGTACCTTTGTTGAACGTAAGCAGCATTACAAACCAGAAAAATGTAAATAAGACAGATATTGCGCACTTTTGACCAGCTGTTAATTTTGACCCAAGCCTGTGTTAGTTTAGACCCGCCTGGCAGGTACAAAGGTAGCATTGTGCTAGTTTCGTTCTCTGCCTTTATATTTTAAAGTAATTTATCCTAGACATTTAATTACAGTTGCAGGTTGTAGGACATATATACTGTAAGTTGTTTATAATAAAATATGGTTTCTCTAGCACTATCGATCTCTGAGTAAATAGGAAAAATCTAAAAGTGTTACTTTCATCCCGGGTCTCCCCTACATGAAGTAAAAGCTAAGCAGAAAATGGTAGATACAGTGGGGGAAAAAAGTATTTAGTCAGCCACCAATTGTGCAAGTTCTCCCACTTAAAAATATGAGAGAGGCCTGTAATTTTCATCATAGGTACACGTCAACTATGACAGACAAATTGAGAATTTTTTTTTCCAGAAAATCACATTGTAGGATTTTTAATGAATTTATTTGAAAATTATAGTGGAAAATAAGTATTTGGTCACCTACAAACAAGCAAGATGTCTGGCTCTCACAGACCTGTAACTTCTTCTTTAAGAGGCTCCTCTGTCCTCCACTCGTTACCTGTATTAATGGCACCTGTTTGAACTTGTTATCAGTATAAAAGACACCTGTCCACAACCTCAAACAGTCACACTCCAAACTCCACTATGGCCAAGACCAAAGAGCTGTCAAAGGACACGAGAAACAAAATTGTAGACCTGCACCAGGCTGGGAAGACTGAATCTGCAATAGGTAAGCAGCTTGGTTTGAAGAAATCAACTGTGGGAGCAATTATTAGGAAATTGAAGACATACAAGACCACTGATAATCTCCCTCGATCTGGGGCTCCATGCAAGATCTCACCCCGTGGGGTCAAAATGATCACAAGAACGGTGAGCAAAAATCCCAGAACCACACGGGGGGACCTAGTGAATGACCTGCAGAGAGCTGGGACCAAAGTAACAAAGCCTACCATCAGTAACACACTACGCCGCCAGGGACTCAAATCCTGCAGTGACAGACGTGTCCCCCTGCTTAAGCCAGTACATGTCCAGGCCCGTCTGAAGTTTGCTAGAGTGCATTTGGATGATCCAGAAGAGGATTGGGAGAATGTCATATGGTCAGATGAAACCAAAATAGAACTCTTTGGTAAAACCTCAACTCGTCGTGTTTGGAGGACAAAGAATGCTGAGTTGCATCCAAAGAACACCATACCTACTGTGAAGCATGGGGGTGGAAACATCATGCTTTGGGGCTGTTTTTCTGCAAAGGGACCAGGACGACTGATCCGTGTAAAGGAAAGAATGAATGGGGCCATGTATCGTGAGATTTTGAGTGAAAACCTCCTTCCATCAGCAAGGGCATTGAAGATGAAACGTAGCTGGGTCTTTCAGCATGACAATGATCCCAAACACACCGCCCGGGCAACGAAGGAGTGGCTTCGTAAGAAGCATTTCAAGGTCCTGGAGTGGCCTAGCCAGTCTCCAGATCTCAACCCCATAGAAAATCTTTGAAGGGAGTTGAAAGTCTGTGTTGCCCAGCAAAAGCCCCAAAACATCACTGCTCTAGAGGAGATCTGTATGGAGGAATGGGCCAAAATACCAGCAACAGTGTGTGAAAACCTTGTGAAGACTTACAGAAAACGTTTGACCTGTGTCATTGCCAACAAAGGGTATATAACAAAGTATTGAGAAACTTTTGTTATTGACCAAATACTTATTTTCCACCATAATTTGCAAATAAATTCATTAAGAATCTTGCAATGTGATTTTCTGGATTTTTTTTTCTCATTTTGTCTGTCATAGTTGACGTGTACCTATGATGAAAATGACAGGCCTCTCTCATCTTTTTAAGTGGGAGAACTTGCACAATTGGTGGCTGACTAAATACTTTTTCCCCCACTGTATGACACCTGATGTAAAGAACCACCACCAAAAACAGAAGGTAACTCTTAACATTAAGGGTAAAATTGACTTCTGCGTTTGTCTGTACACTGGCCTTAGCCATAACATACACTGCATAAGTTATGTCAATAACTATCCTTACTGTAAAGTCTTACCAAAGATTCCAATCAAACACCAACAAACAGTTGTTCATTACAACATGGAGAAAATAAGACCCTCAAGACCATTATCCATTCAAAGCGTTTAGAACCAACCTTGTAATTTTGTATTTTTGCTGCATGGAGAGCTAAACCTGCAATAATATTTTATAGAACAATTTAAATATAGAGTTACTAATCTATTGTGTAATTGCTTTGCAAAGAACATACTGTATACAGTTATTCTTTATTAATGATGGCCGGTACATAAACAAGTGGTTCTTGCATAGGCTACCTGGTATCAATGTCTTCTGAAGAGGGACAACAGTGAACCCCTGGATAGGATACTGAAGAGGGGAGTTGGATGGAGCAAAGATAAGCCTGTTCAGACTGGAGCTTGTCCTAGGAGATTATCAAATGGTCCCATAAATGTTTCCTGAGTACAGCACCTAGGCCGTCCACATGTGCATATTTAAGACATAACAATCAATTTAGTGGATTTTATTCCATTCTTGAAATGGAAGAATATCATGTCCAGAAATGACCTTGTTGCCAGTGTAACGGAATTAAGAATGTGCAATAAACTAACTCCACAGTTAGCTTGAAATGTTGTTAAGGAGGGCGGTCACGAGTGTTGCGAAGCAGAGGTCCCGAGTTCGAGCCAGGTATACGCCAAATCAGGGGAAAAGGCTTACTGATGTCCATAACACCAGGTTACATTTGTAGTATTTTCACCCACCTGATATGATGCTTCCTGTACTCCTCAGCTCTTCGTTTGACTATGTCATCATACTGGTCTTTTGGAAGGTGATCTTTCAGTACAAGCATTCCCTTTCCCTGACAACTGCAATTGGGTTGTCTGGGACTGGTGGATGGTAAGACTCTATTGATTCACAGGGACAAATATAAAATAATCTACAAGAACATTGCTGAAGATAGAGGCCCAATATACAATTTTAAAACTGGTACAGTACTTTATTGATTTTCACGATGGCAGAACTATCTTAAAAACAAGTGTATTGTACCTTTACATTTTTAAATGTCTAAGTGATTTCAGGCTTCACCATAACTGGTGGAAGTCTTCAAACCAAAAGTTAAAACAAACAGTTGCTAAAAAAGAAAATATACCTTATTTGCTGAGGAACTAATTGATCTGTGTCTTCCTCTGTTGGGCAATAGTGGAGTAAGAAGAAGTACATCATTGATGCTGACAGACAGAGAATAGCTAGGACAAGTGCCTGCTTGCATCTACCCATCTGTAAAAGACTGTCCATCTGTAGAAGACAAGAGCATCAAATTCTGACCAGGGAAGCAATGTAAAATCTTGAAGGGCTACCCACTGGGAACAAACTGGTTGAATCAACATTATTGCCATCATAAATATATAGATTGGATTTGCAAAAACCTAAATCCAATGACATGGTTCCACTTTTTGTTGTTTGTTAGTTGACAACTCAAATGTTTATCAAAACTAGACCTTAAACCTATGTCTGTGCCCCGTGGGTAATATGCTGTAGGCATATTAGCTCCTGCATATGCTTTCTCACTCATAAATTACAGCTCTGCTACTAACCTTTCACTTCCATGTGAAGGGTTAGTAGCAGCTTATCATTTATCACCACGTTTCCAATCACCATTTCTATGCACGTTTTTTTTGAAAATAAAGTCACACCATATTAAAAAAAAAAAAAAAAAAGTCATGACAGCTGTGATGGAAATGTTATAAACGCCGACCGAATTTGTTCGTTGACATGGTGGGATCTTTTTGTGTCTGTAAAATTAATTATGCAAGAAATGGCGGTGGAAACGTCTTTATACGCAAATATTGATATCATAACCACCTTGGAGTCAGGCGAGGATATGGTGTCTGGTCCTCCCGCTACAACTCGGGAAATGGTGTGGTCCTTCCACTACAGCCCGGGTTTAGGATTTGCACAATATTGTCGCCTAGCAATATTGTCGCCTAGAGACCAGTTGCTGTGGTGCGAGAGAGAAGCATGCCTGTATCTCTCACAGAAGCAGAATGAGCTTAATTTAATGATCTTTCCCTCTCTCTCTGCATGAGCCTGCAACTACCATCTCTCCAGAGTTGTACTTCAGTATTTATTTCCGTATAGAATCATAGCCATGGGAAGGGTGCTGGAGCACCCCTGATAAATTGAAATACATTTGCCAAAGTTATAGAATTACTGCCGTCTGTTCAGAAATAAATGGAATAATTCAGAATACTACACCAGGAGTAGGCCTGTAATTTAGCCACAGAGAATCAATAGATTGTATAGCCTAGCTGTGGGTTGTGTAGCCCAATCACAAGGCATTGCTTACAGTCGGGAACGCGTGGCAATGAATTAACTAGCTAGCGAGCATAAACTAGCTAGCGAGCATAGACTAACATGCTCCCATAAAAGGAGATCAGCAATTGATACTAACTAAAATCTATCAGCCCTATAATGATATATTTTCTGAAATTTCATCTGATGGTTTCTTTGAATCAGTACACCACACACGATGTCTAGCCAATGACAGCCACGTAACTAGAACTGACGCGCCCCTACCAAAATGTCAAAACCTATTTAGCTAGCATGAAGCAATAGATTTGTCCTACCTGCTCCCAGAAGAGGCGATCAGCAATTTATACTAACTTCAATCTATTATCCCTGTAATGAATATAATCCCTATAATTGTATTCTTACATTTCATGGGTTATTTGAATCAGTAACGTTACCCCACACACACGATCTCTAGCCAGCTGACAGTCAGTCAGACGTGCACCCTACACTGAATTGTCAAAACCGACGCATCCTCGTTTTCAGGTTAAGCACACGCATAGCATTGCATTCATTTATATGCATTGCATTTTTGACCGGTAGTATATATATATATATATATATATATATATATATATATATATATATATATATATATATATATATATATATATATATATATATATATATATATATGACACTTACAGACAATTTCGAATTAATTCCAGCTTTACGAATTAATTTATAGGGCTAATTATATGCCTTGAAGCATCTTGGCCAGGTCGCAGTTGTAAATGAGAACTTGTTCTCAACTGGCTTACCTGGTTAAATAAAGGTGAAATAAAAATAAATAAATAAATAGCCTACTAACGGAAAGCCTATATAAATTATTCTAACTAAATTTTTTAACTGCTTAGTGAAAAGTAAGGCTAAAATACGAACCTTTTTGCAGACAATTCTACGATGGTCCAGTCAGTCCAGTCAATTAACTTTTGAAAAAAGAAAAACTACAGCAGCTCTATCCAAAGATGATGGATATTTTTGCTAGAAACACATCTCTCTGCCCCAACAATGGGAGTCGTTATCCACAAAGCAGCACAGCGGCTGTCTAGCGCGATTGGTATATATGTCAATATTGTAATCCTTTTCTGAATATTCGATGAGGGTCGTTGACGTCAACCGCCTGTATTCAATGGAGAGAGATGCTATTGTAACCCTTGTTATTTTGGTGCTTTGAGAGGTACAGCTATGCAAATTAGATGTGTAAGTGTTTTAGGCATGCTGCTGAGACACGGAGTAGCATCCTTGCTTATTGCACATTACTGTGCTTCGAAAACGACACATAGAAGTATTGCTTACCTGTGAGCTCTTTTATATTGTGTCAAAGTTGTGTCAATTCAAAATCTGGTATTAGGAACAAAAGAGGTCAATACACGTCTTCTAAAATAGACTAGTATTTTAATTAATGCAAAACCTTCAGTGGTAAATATGATGTTCGTATATATACGGGCTCCCTGAAATACCACGCAGGGCAGACAGAGAACTAATCCATTGTTATGAGTTCTTCTTCAAATACTCTGACAGAGATAGTTCCCACTCTCTGCTGGGCCTATCAGGGTAGAGACTGAGCATGGTTTAAACTTACTCAGCCAATCCGTTGTTGCACAGGCTAGTCCCATTCCCTTGGCGCTCTCTGTTGCCAGGCATAAGTTCTTATCATAACAACCTGTCATGGTGAGAAGAGCCAGCTCCCCTAGACACCATTCCTACGTCCAAGGATGGTTCACAGACAACGGTTCACAGACAACAAAGAGGCAGTGTTCCTATCTGTAAGAAATACAAGTCTTATCTGTCCTTCCCCCTAACGTTCTTACATGAATCACAGCCTGTTATGTGAAACAATTCATTTCAGTACAGTACAAACCTATGCTTGTCATTAATGCATTCCTTCTAAGCTATTCATCACATACAGATCCAATTATTAGAAAATAGAACCCCACAATTGCTTTATAAGTACTTAGTATAACGTAGTGCCATGGGTAATGGTGTTAAAGTGTTTATTGAAAATATGTTAGTATTTACAGTGCATTCAGAAAGTATTCAGACTTGTTTTTTTCCCTTTCAATCTACACACAATACCCCATAATGACAAAGCAAAAACGGGTTTTTAGATTTTTTAGCAAATTTATGAAAAATAAAAAACGGAAATATCACATTTACATAAGTATTCAGACCCTTTACTCAGTCCTTTGTTGAAGCACCTTTGGCAGCGATTGCAGCCTCGAGTCTTCTTGGGTATGACGCTACAAGCTTGGCACACCTGTATTTGGGGAGTTTCTCCCATTCTTCTCTGCTGATCCTCTCAAGCTCTGTCAGGTTGGATGGGGAGCATCGCTGCACAGCTATTTTCAGGTCTCTCCAGAGATCTTCGATCGGGTTCAACTCCGGGTTCAGGCTGGGCCACTCAAGGACATTCAGAGACTTGTCCTGAAGCCACTTTTGCATTGTCTTTGATGTGTGCTTAGGGTCGCTGTCCTGTTGGAAGGTGAACCTTCGCCCCAGTCTGAGGTCCTGAGCGCTCTGGAGTAGGTGTTCAACAAGGATCTATCTGTACTTTGCTCCGTTCATCTTTCCCTCGATCCTGACTAGTCTCCCTGTCCCTGCCACTGAAAAAAATCCCCACAGCATGATGCTGCCACCCCTATGCTTCACCGTAGGGATGGTGCCAGGTTTCCTCCAGACGTGACGCTTGGCATTCAGGCCAAAGAGTTCAATCTTGGTTTCATCAGACCAGAGAATCTTGTTTCTCATGGTCTGAGAGTCCTTTAGGTGCCTTTTGGCAAACTCCAAGCGGGCTGTCATGTGCCTTTTACTGAGGAGTGGCTTCCGTCTGGCCACTCTACCATAAAGTCCTGATTGATGGAGTGCTGCAGAGATGATTGTCCTTCTGGAAGGTTCTCCAATCTCCAAAGATTAACTCTGGAGCTCTGTCAGAGTGACCATAGGGTTCTTTGTCACCTCTCTGACCAAGGCCTTCTCCCCCAATTGCTCAGTTTGGCCAGGCAGCCAGCTCTAGGAAGAGTCTTGGTGGTACCAAACTTATTCTATTTAACAATGTTGGAGGCCACTGTGTTTTTGGGGACCTTCAATGCTGCAGAAATGTTTTGGTACCCTTCCCCAGATCTGTGCCTAGACATAATCCTGTCTCGGAGCTCAACTGACAATTCCTTCGACCTCATGGCTTGGTTTTTGCTCTGACATGCACTGTCAACTTACAGTTGAAGTCGGAAGTTTAAATACACTTTTTCAACCACTCCACAAATTTCTTGTTAACAAACTATCGTTTTGGCAAGTCGGTTAGGACATCTACTTTGTGCATGACACAAGTCATTCTTCCAACAATTGTTTACAGACAGATTATTTCACTTATAATTCACTGTATCACAATTGCAGTGGGTCAGAAGTTTACATACACTAAATTGACTGTGCCTTTAAACAGCTTGGAAAATTCCAGAAAATGAAGTCATGGCTTTAGAAGCTTCTGATAGGCTAATTGACATCATTTGAGTCAATTGGAGGTGTACCTGTGGATGTATTTCAACCTAGTGTCTATGTTGTAGTCCAAAGGACCAGTGATGATCTGCCTGTGTACATTGTGAAGCCAGAAGATGATGACGAAAGTGGTGAAAGGACTCTTCAACAGGATTTACTGCAGCCGTGTGGATTCAATACTTCTAATCCAGATGTGAGATGTCAAGATTCACCACCAAGGCCCCAACCTCCTCGGATGAGACAACGTGCCAGAGAGGCTGAAATGGAAGATGTCACATTAGAAGCAGAGGATGTCCATTCCCAGGAGTATATTGCTGATGAAACAGAAGATTTGAGGACTCATGAACTGAATCCTGACGCACCTGAATTCTCTACCCTTGTGGAAGACAACCAGGGCTTGCCTTCTCAGCAGCAACCATTGGATGGAACCTTTGAGACTCAGAGCCAGGTGAATGAAACATCCAGGAGTTCTGAAGAGTTGATGGAACCTGAATCCGTGTCATCATTGCCTAGACGGTCTACAAGAGGGAGAAGAAGGCCTACTTACCTGAGAAACTTTGATGTGGCTTCTCGGATGCTGTCAGTTGACCAGTTGCACTTAGTTAGCCAATCTATTGCACAGTCGGTGGCTTTTGTTTGACAACAAACTACCATAATGTTGGAGCAAGTAGATAGGCTGAATGATTTATTGGTCCAAGTTTTATCAGTTGACAGTGCAAGTTACTCTTTCGAGTAATTAGGGGGGGGGGAATATGTAACCCTTGTTATTTTGGGGCTTTGAGAGGTACAGTCCGTATCCTTCCGCCCCCTCTCTGACCTCTGATAGTAATGCAGCTAGGTCCTAGCCTATGCAAATTTGATGTGCACGTGTTTTAGGCATGCTGCTGAGACAGTGAGTCACATCCTTGCTCCTTGCTTACCCTACATTACTGTGCTTCAAAAACTTCATATAGGCAAATAATACTTCTGTGAGATGTTTTATATTACTTTATGAGTACTTACTATAACGCAGTTCCATGGGTAATGGTGTTAAAGTGATTATTGAAAATATAGTCATTTTTACCTCGTCTTGTAAATCAGCCACGCTAACCAGTTTTAGTAACTAGCTCCAGAGCATCCTTGTATGGTTAGTAATTGTCAATGTTGTAAGTGCCTTTCATACCTCAAGTTTGTTAAGTGTTATGGTACAGTATGCTATACAGTCTTATTAGCACTTGTATGAAACTCGGTTTCATGTGTATTCTTTAAGAGATGTTATTTCACTGCAGAAAAGTAGTCTGTATATGCAAATTAGATGTGCATGTGTTTTAGGCATGCTGCTGAGGCACTGAGTCACATCCTTGCTCCTTGCTTATCGTACATTACTGTGCTTTAAAAACTTCACATAGTGCTGCTGCCGACGTCACAGAGCTGAACTGTTCGTTGCCTGTTGCTGTTGGATTCGTTGAGCTGACATATCTGCATGTGATCTCAACGCTGCATTCTGCTTTGCTCTTTACCATTGAGCTGAGGACTGAATGTGACTGAGAGTCAATTAACTCGACACCTCGTTGATATTAGGGGGGCCCTGCGAGATATCTCTAAAGTGTGCACACATATTTTTTATAATTTTTAGTCGTTTTTTAATTTTAATTTTAAAACAACAAACACTGCTCAGGGTTATTAATTGTTGAATGAAATGTATGTATTGTATCCCCTGTATGCTTGTATCTCAACCCCTATTCACTAAAGAATATTCAAACTATTTTGTTGTCTGCTGAGTTGAGGAATGTGCAAACATTATTATAAGATTGTTATAATCTTTAGACACTTCATTAAGATAATTGAAGGGGTCACACTATGCTACTAGCCTAATGTCATGAATATGCATAGCCATCTCGACACAACTCCGAAATAAAGTGTTTTTTCTCAAAGTTGCCGGGATGTCACGTGTCCTACTTATATCATTACACTTGTAACAACTTAAGCAATACGAAACTTCAATTGGATCAAGTATTAGATCAAGCCAGATCAAGCATTGTCACTTCCTGTTGAACGCGGAACGAGGGAGAGCTCGGTTTGTTGATTTGAAAGTGTATTGGAAAGTTTCTTAGTAGCTAGTGTAGTATCTAAACAGTTTATGACTTTGCTGACGTTTGCAAATGGTGTGTTAGAGGAAGTTGACTCAGCTTGCGGAAGCATCTGGAAAGCATTACTATAGGGGCCCCCTAAAACAGAGGAAGTCTGTTATGTGAAGGCCAGGGATTGGTCTGTAGGAGAACCACCCATATTATGTTACATATTATAAATACCATGGTTGAAACAAAGGACGGGGAGAATATAACATATTAGAGATTGGGTCAGTTGTTCTCCAGATGTCTGCAGGAGTCTGTAAATTGACGCTGAAATCTTTGATTTAATAAACCATTATAATCAAGGACAGTGTCAGTGGATTTCTTGTCATCACAGCAGAATTAGCATCGTTATCTCGACACTACATTAATGGCGACGAGGTATTTTGGACGTGTTGCGTCTGTTTCAACGTTGCATCATGGGCACGGGGCTGACTCTCGCTCCAGAGTCCGGCAGATAAGGGTGAGT